ACGTCGCTCGCGCAGTGCAATCAACTCCCCAATCACTGCCAACGCCGTCCCCGCCGATGCAGACATGCATGACCGGATCACCGCTGCCAGGTAGTCGTGGGCGGCATGCTCGTCGCGCGCGCTATTCACGCGCCCGTCCGGATCTCCGCCGCATCGCATCGTTGCTCCTCTCCCGCTATCGCGCTCTGCACTCGTACCATTGCATCTTAGCACTACCACTCACACTTCCGCAATCGAGATGTATCCTCCAACCCCCGAGCCCTACACTGTCCACTACCTCTACTCACGCCTGTATCACCGCCTGCCGCATCTCGTACCTCCTCTAACCACCTGCACATCTCGTCTATCTGTCTGCACACTGGTCTACGCCCATCTGTCCCCGTATCCATCACTTTGCTTCGCATCCGTCCAGTTCCATTGTTGCAAACTATCCCCCACCCCCACCCCCACCCCCATCCCATTGCGCGCCCAAACCCACACCACCAGACCCATTATCAGTACTCGAGGCATATCTCCACATCTATCACGTAGTCCCTGTGCAAAAGTCCTTCCATTGTCGTTTTAGTCACACCTGCCATCCACAACTCGCTAATACGCCGCGCACCCACCCAATCATCGTCCACCTTTACATATTCTACCCTGCCCGATATATTTTGTTTTCGCTCCGTCTGCTGCCCATCGCCTGCCTTGCCCTGCCACACAAATTGTTGTTGCGCTCCCTACCGGTCCCACATCGCTCCTCAGATAGGCACTTGCTCAGATTCTCCCATTCCCGTCCTTGTCTCCGTCCTGCATGTTTTGTCTCTCGATTTTCTCGATCACCCAGATGTCCCCAATCTCCCTGCCGCTCGTTCGCCACCGCCGGCGCGCCGAGCACAAAGTCCTCGCAATCGCCCTTGTGTCCTGGTTTCCGCTTTGTGTCCCGTCCTCCGTCCACCGTCTATGTCTCTGGTTTTGTACGCTCATCGTCTTGTGCTCCGTCTTCCAAAATACACTGCCGGATTACTTGCTCAACGCACGCGCGACGCGCGATGAGATCATCAACCCCCCAAGTCGGAGTTGTCGCGTCTCGGAAGCAACCCGATTCTGCGCCCGGGCCTAACTGTTCCCGATTGCTTTCGGCGACATGCCGCCGACAGGACTAATAATGACGGTCGACTGTCCAGAAGGCAAAAGGGGAGGGGACCTTTGCCTCCTTGACGTTGAGGGTGGCGTACATACGTACTAAGGCAACTGAGGTGCGAGGGGGCGGCGGCAGCTTCTAAAGAGTGACACACGACAGCAGACGTCGCCCGGGTGACACTGACAGCGGCCGTCATAATTGCGGCTCGGCGCCACGATGAGCGGCTAATATATTTCGGCGGCTCAATCACGGCCAACGTCGCATGCACATGCACATGTTCTGCGTATCCTTGTCTATTACAACTGAGCTGTAGCTATACAGTGCTGTCCCCGGTCTCAAATTAGCTCCATTTTTCTCTACCGCCGACGTGAACCGGCCGACGTCGTAAACATTGGACAAGCTGTTTGCTGCTGTCACCGACCCAAAACACAGACGAAAACACGTCCACCTAAATTGACGGATGTGTCCTCTATTTCTTTGGCGCTTTTGATATGGTGGCCGAGTGGCGACGGTGATAAGATCGGCGAGGACTTCTGTCGGGTGCCATTCGACTGCCTCAAGTCTTCAGAAGCCATCTGTAAACTTGGTGTGGGTTCATTAGAAGACATGCATACGAGAAATGAAGCCTCGATGTTGGTAGCACCGACAATGAAGTACAGAGCGGTCCAAAAATATTGCATGTACATGCACATGTGTTGCACAACACAACATCGCACTTGAACGCCTATGTAAATGTGATAAGCACGGCTTCCGTGGCCGCAAGCACAAACCCGTCGCTCGGCACCACCGTCTCGGTCACCACACTACCCGCCGCGAGCCCCGTCGCAGTCTCATACGATACGCCGCCCCAGGTCACGTTCGCCGTATCGTCCGCATGCGCGATCTTCAGCCGCTTGAGCGTCGCGTGGGCCGGCGCGCCGCTCGCGCCGGTGAAAAGCACCTGCACGCGCACCGCCGGGCGCGCGCCCGTGCTCGCGGACGAGTACGCCTGCGAGTTCAGGAAGACGGCTCGTGCCAGCGCGGTGCCATCGTAGATTGCGTAGCCCGCCACGCCCGCGTCGTGCGTCTCGATCTCGGCAACCGTCGTGCCCCCGCTCGTCCCTATTGCTTCGGCGAGCGCGATGGCGGCGTAGTATGTCGGCTGCACATGTGCAGGAATTATCGGCACGCTCTCTCCGGTCGTGATGCTGCGGTTCAGCGCGACTGGTTGCATCTAGAAGCTAGCATCAGTCTGACAGAGCAGTTCTAACCTCTGAACGTTCGCACAAAGTTATACTTGAAACCAATGCCTATACGTGCTGAAATCAGCTCACGGTGCTATAATTCACCCAAATGTTTCGCACCATGATGGTAGTAAACCTCTTCAATCCGCTGGACTGCTGCCTGCAGCGAGTAATCCAGCATCCAGATTGCCGCGCCCGCCGTGTTGCTGACGCCTATCCAGGTCCTGGCTAAAAGATTCTTCGAAATACTTGCGAGGTACACTCACCTGGAGCACCATGGCAAGCATAAGAATTTGTCTCCCTGTTCTGATTAGTTAGACGTATGCAAGGACTCGTTGCACGGCCTGAACAAACGCACCCGAGCCAGTACTTGAGTCCTTGCACCTCGGTCGCTGCAATGTCAGGCTTCCAAACAGTCACGTTGCCCCGAATGTACAGTTTAGACATGAGATCGCTCAGAAGGCCTTGAGAACCCGTACAGAATGAGCCTGCGAAATAGTTGAAGCCACCGTTGCTGGATGTGTTTAGATAAACGACACGAACCGCTGTACCGATGCTGCGATACGCTATGCGATTAAATCAGTGTATAGCTCGGGTGTATATATTTCGAATAACAAACACTGTGATCAAGCTGCCAGCAGTCGTAGAGAGCAATCCATTGGCATAGGCTTGTTGCGGCGAGAAACCGCCGTTCCCATGATCACCGCCCTTCAGTAGTATGAGCATCATCTTGTGAACAAAATTCAAACCCTTCACAGCAAATGAAAGAGATATCCATGATGGCAGCGAACCCTTTTTGATACCTAAAGCGGTGGAAACAGAACCCGCAAGAGCGACCCAACTAGCCGATATCAGCAATACTTAACAAGATACAAGAGTTTGAAAACATACTCTGTTTGCCAGTTTGCCACGGTGTATGTGGTGTTGCGCAAGCCGTTGTTCTTGTATAGATCTGGTTCGTTGCCTGAAGCTGCTCAGCGCCGAACATCGTGATAATGATTAGATAATCCCTCACCGGCCTCGAGCAGCTCTAGAACTATGTTCTTGCTCGTGATATCCGACGAAGCGAAGGCGGCAGCTATGCTTTTGGCTTCCGCGATAGCATTGGTGCTGCTGTTTGCTCCCAAGTTCAAGCCCCAGGTCATTCTTGTTCCTATGGAAGGTCGCAATAGTTAGGGCACGGCGCATTAGCCTCAAAAGAACGGTCGACTTGTACCAGATGGTAGATGCTTCGACAACAAATAGAACGATGGCCCGATTGTGTTGGAAGTTGCTTCAGGGTACGGTGTCGTCGAGGTATAGTTAGGAAATAGGCCGACTGTTGGCTATAAGTAACGCAAGCCCGCAGAATGAGCATAATTGGGGATTTGTAGAAAGTTGTGTACCTCAAACTGAGTTGCCACGAAGGTCGTGCGATCCTGCGAAGAACATGCGATATGAGAATCAACATCAAAACTCGTGGCACACTGCTCTTACCTCTGAGTTTGCGCCAACACGAATCTTCGGTGGTTTACCAGTCCTGCAGCCGGTACATGAAAAGTCGGATGACGAGATTATGGAGTTTTTCGCACAGTATCTTTAGATTGTTGAGGGTATTGATCCAGAATGTATTTGGAGTGTCGATTCCTCCAGTCCATTCAGGCCATCGATCACTCTGTAGTTCCCAACGTGTGTTATCAGCCAATCTCGTCTTCATTGGACGAAACGCAGTCACACCTCAATGCTGAAGCCGACGAGATTCTGCGACAGAACGGCAGCGGTGGTGGCTTTGCGAGCGGCACATTAACTCCTACGAGTGGTGTCGCTGCTGGTGTGCAGGTCGTCTGCCCTTGCACGCCGCCTAAGAAGGTGCTTGTTGCGCAGAGTAGTAAACCGGCGAGGCCGAGATTTCCGGAGCGCATTGAAACCAGCAACGTCGTCGACACGTTCAGGTATAACCGTGCAAGAGACCAAGCAGAGGGCAAGGCGCGGTCGGCATCCACGGCCATGAGATGCGACACAAGAAAGTGCAATTGAGAAGCCCGTGGACGCGTGACCGTCCGCGAGCACCATCGCCGCGTGCACTTCGCCGTCACCTTCGTGCTTCTCAAGTTTGCTATTGCAACACCCATCGACCTTTCAAAACAGCCCAGAAGTGAGTTTGATATGTTTAGCCATATAGTTATCCAGTCAATTATTGCCCGAGGCAACAACTATATGGAGCAGGATCTGGAGGGTTTGAAGGTGAGTCAAGAGCAGTGTGTCCACTGCAGCGGCCGAGACCGTTTATCCGCAATGCACTCGGGCCACTATCTTGTTGTCCAAGAAGACGCAACAGGCGAAATGGTGTGGAGCAAAGCTGGGCCATGTCCGGTATAGGGAAATGGCATTGAATATATTTGGAATTATTGGCAGGCACGATAGTAGCTAGTGCTTGATAGGTTATATACGATGTTGGGAGAGGCCGGGCGGCAAAGAAGGACGGCGGTTGCGACCGAGTCGTTTTGTTGAGATATCGCATATAGGTCGCTCTAAGGTCGGCCACATTAAGTCTTCAGAGGCCATTCAAGTAATCGAGGAGCTGTCTGTTGAACCGTTCCCGGAGAATTCATTGTTGCCCTCTCACTCAGAATCCAGTGTCATGATCTATGTACAAAGCTCATCAATTTCAGCTAAGCATTGTGGCGCAGGGGTTAGCGCGCGGGGCTCATAACCCCGAGGTCCCACGATCGAAACGTGGCAATGCTAATAATTTTGGCCGTCCGAGCCATGCCTGTTGTTTCATTATTTCACCGGCCTCGCGAAGATCCACGGGAAAGGGTAGCGAGTAAATTTTTTTGTGAATCTCGCTAGCGAGGAAGAGTCTTGTGTAATAGTAAGCAGTGGCTTGGGTTAGAAGCGATCACCGCTCTCGGTGGAGGCACTTCAAGAGTGGCAAAGATGCACGGGAACTGACAGCAGTGAGTACAGGCGTGGCCTATTGGGGCTGTGTGTGGGTGCGTTAGTGCACAGGGCACGTTAGCATGAGCCACATATCTGCGATTCGAGCCTTGAACGTTGCCCGTACGTGGAGGCAGTTATGAAACCAGCGTTGTATTCTGCTCGAGCGATCAGCTCAGCGACTTGTAGAATGCGGAAGTTTCAGTGAGCGTGGTAGTGTCAGACCTTCTCTGCTTGTAACGAAAGCCGAAGTGAGCTTTTTCGGTTGACTGAAACCATTGGTTACAGGATCCACGGGTGTATGCATCGCCGAAAACTGCCAACCACCTCAGCTCGAGAAATCACTGTTTATTATAGCTTTATCGCTTGAATAAAATTGAAGAGAGTGGATGCTTCAAAGTTAAAGTCAGGGGCTTTGTGGAAATATAATATCGCGATTTTTGCGGCATGTACCGGTCCTTGCACCGCTGCCTTTACCTATCCGCTTATTCCATCATGTGTTTGAAATTACACCGAAGATCTCTGGGCTATTCAGGACACTCGGCGCACACCCTAGTCTATTGGAGCAACATTACCTTGCGCTTCAAAACGGCCTCTGGAAACGACTCCGAGGATCTCGAGCGTAAATGGTTCGTAGAGACTGGGCAATACAATATATTCGATGTTCCAATGGTCAGAAACGACTTCCGAAGGGTTGCAGTATTGATGAGGTCGAAAAACAACAAGGTGGTGCAAGGAACGGTGCTGCTTCTTGTGGCAAATTGTGGCAATTGAAGTAGGAACGTCCAAATGTAATTCATCGTTCCGGCCTTGTGTGTTCTCAGCTCACTGGCGAGCGCTCTCCATGACACACGCACAAATCGATTGATTAGCGGATCGAGCGTACGATGTATACTGAATATCAATCCTTCTAGACAAAGCTGAGCAACACGGCTTCAGTCGCCGAGATGAGCAAGCCGTCACTGAGTTCGACAAGCTCGGTTTTTACACCTCCCGAAGGCAGCCCGAGCGGCGTTTCGAAAGACAGACCACCCCAAGTGACGCCAGAGAGGTCGTCAGCGCGTTCAATCACAAGGCGCTTGGCGATCGCCTTTGTTGGCGCTCCCTTGGCCCCAAAAGCGAGCTGCAAACGCACGCTCGGGCGTGTCCCAGTGCTCGAGGCAGTCCACGCTTCGGCATTTAGGAAGATGGCCCGAACCAATTTCTGGCCCTCGTAGATAGCGTAGCCGGCGATGTGGGCGTCGTCGGCCACGATCTCGGCCACAGTGGCCCTTCCGGTCCTACCAATTGCTTCTGTGATGGCTATTGCGCCGTAGTACGATGGCTGGACGTGAGCGGGTTTCGTCTCCTCGGGCTGACCAGTGGCAATGCTGCGGTTCAACGCTACGGGTTGCATCTGCGAATCCGGCGTGTGGTGTCAGTTTGGTGATGAAGCCGATCGAAAACCTGCGCACAAAGTTATACTTGAAACCTATGCCGTGGTGATAGAAGACCTCTTCGATCTTTTGGACCGCTGCTTGCAGAGTGTAGTCGATCAGCCAAATAGCCGCAGCCGCAGCGTTGCTGACGCCTATGACAAAGAGTTAGCCACGGCGTCCGGGGTTGAAACGATCGAACTGACCGGGGGCACCATGACAGCTGTACGAATTAGTCTCGCTAAGAGAATGTCAGCTGCTGATCATGACGATACGATGCAAGCTTTGAATCCGCACCCGAGCCAGTACTTGAGTCCTCGAGCGAGAGTCGCCTCAATATCCGGTTTCCAGACGGAGATGTTGCCGCGGACGTAGGATTTGTCCATCAGATCGGTGAGAATGACATCGCCTCCCGTGCAGAACGAGCCTGCCGGTGATGTGAGTTCAAAAGAAGGGGCCACAGACAAAGTAACAATGACCAACCACTATAGCGGTGCTGAGAGATTCTGATCGTAACTCGTCAGTCAAGTGAAAAACAAATGGTGAAAACCTCTTCGCACGAACGCGGTGATGAGTTTGCCCGCAGTTGAGTCGATCAGTCCGTCGTCATACGCCTCGCGCAATTCGGTGGGTGAAAAGGCAGTTTTGCCCTATGGAATTTTGTCAATACATCTCCGTTGGACACCCGACTTGTTCGCGCACAGAGAACGAGGCCCCGAGCCAACCGGGAAGGGAGCCCTTCTTCAAGCCGAGCGCCTCGGTCACATCCCCAGCGAGCGCGCTCCATCTGCGACGATGTTAGTCAGAGCCGAACGGACTATGCAGCCCCCCCCCCCAAAAAAAAAAAGACCACCCGCACTCTGAAATGTATTCGGGCACGCTGTAGTTGGTGCTGCGCAGGTTGTTGGTTCTGTACAGATCCGGCTCGTTGCCCGCCTCGATGAGCTCCAAGATGATGCCCTTGCTACGCAACACCGGGGATTTGAACGACTCGACGATCGCCTTGCCCTGGCGGATGGCTTCTGCGCTATCGTTGAACCCAAAGTTGACGCCCCAGTGCATGCGCGTTCCTTGGTAAGCAAAATCACATAATTTATGAGCACGCGAGCGGGGATGGACGTGAAACCACGTTTTTGCCGCACCTGCAGGCAGATGCTTCGACACGAGCCAGAACGCCGGGCCGACAGTGTTGTTGAGGGCCTCGGGGTACGGAGTCGTCGCCGTCCATTCGGGAAACGTGCCAAGCGTGGGCTGCGAAGACGACGAAGCTGTGAGAAGCGGCGTGCTTGATATCATGAATCGCCGCGCGGCGGACCTCTTTCTGAGTCGCGACGTAGGTCGTGCGGTCCTGAAAAGTGCGAGAAGCAAAAGATATCAGCCCCCCACGATGACCTCTTAGTTCGCGGGCCAAGCTCGCACTTCAGAGTTCGCACCGACGCGAATCTTGGGGGCTTGCCGGTCCTGCAGTCCCGATAAATGCTGGCAAACGCAAGCAAACGCAAAAGGACATACCGCGCCTCGAGATTTTTCAAAGTATTGATCCAGAACGTGTTGGGAGTTTCGATTCCAGTCCATTCAGGCCACCGGTCGCTCTATGTCGCCGCCGACTGTCAGTCAGAAGAAAACGCGTGGAGGAGTTGATACTAACCTCGATGCTGAAGCCGATGAGGCTCTGCGAGAGTTTTGTCGCGCCAGTCGGTTTTGCAATTGGAACCGAAACGACAACAGTTGCCTGCGCGTGCGTGCTCCCTGCTGCGAAGAATGTCGCCGCGGCGAGAAGCACACCGGCGTGACCCAGTGCAGTCATAAACATCTAGAAGCAAGTCTTTCGCAGTTGGAGCAACGGCGGTGGTGGTGGCGTCGAGCGTATCAGTAAACGACCCTGTTTTAAATAGAAGAACTCCAAAGCTGCAATGATGGCGATGGGTTGTTGGCGCAAGTACGCGTGACCGTGCAAGTAACCTCGGGACATACCAAGATACAGCTTCTTTTCAACTCCCCGATGATGCTCAACGCATAAAAATATTAAAAACCTGGAAGCCAAGCCCGCCCGTGACCACCGGCCCGTTGTTCAATACGGATCGCACATCAGACATCGCGTCAGGAGGAGTGGAATATTATGAGGATCACCGAGGTGACGAGCAGAGTAGAGTAGGGTGAACGATAGTACAACAGTCGCATTGCAGGGGGGACGGGGCATATGCGGGTCGCGATATGGCGAGACCAAAGAGATAGAGGGCAACAGAAGGAAGAAAACAATGCTGAGAAAGAGTAGGTTCAGCGTGATGGTCCCAACATCAAGAGTTGCGAAGCAGTCGAATACCCCGACAGTTCTAGGGTCCGAGAGGTCTTTACCCGCGCAATTTGGAAGCCGTGCGAGAGGGTGTCGGAACAGATAATGGACCGCGAAGGCCGAGAACGCGTTCAAGGCTGGCCAAACCAGGGTCGACGAATTGTGTCACAGCGACATGCCGAGCCATGGCCTCTTCAGACAGCAGGGGATGCGGGGCCGCTCTTCTGTTTGATCTGAACGGATCGAGAGCACGGGCTTGCGCAAAGGTGACCACAAGACGGTTGGCAGGCGGTTCGGAGCTGCGGACCGCGCCGACCTTGCCGCCCGCCTTGTTTGCGGCTTGAGTCTGCTGAAGAATATCAAGTGCAGACGCTGTGTGTTGGCGCAGGCGGCCTGCAGCAGCAGAGTCGTGTCTGCTGTCGTAAGCAGTGGTGCCCGAGACACTGTGAGAACCGGGGGATGTAGAAAGTGTGGGGTTGAGATCAGAGACAGCGGTGGTAGATGATGTGGCAGGCAGGGTCGCGACGCTTTTGATACTGCTGACACTCTTCCGACGGAAGAGACCACCGCCAGTCGCCGGGGCGGCGTGAGAGCTGCCGGGGCTGGATGGGGTGCTGCGCGGGATATGGGCGCTGGAAAGGGTCGGAGACAATAGTGCATGTGCAGGGTCGGCGTTGAGAAGCGGACCTATGGAGGTGGTGGGTGTGGCCATACCAGAATGTGATATGCCGCGCAGGAGTGGATGTGGACGTGAAGGTAGTCCGACGAGCGAATGAACGCTGACGGGACGACTCTTGCGCGACGACATGCCTACGGGTTCGTCGATTGTATGCGCCGAGCCACGCCTGCGCTGGGATTGGAGGTCGCGGTCAGGATTGAGGGGCGTCATACCTGCGCCTGCAGGGAAGATGGCCGACTGGGGGCGTGCGCGGCGCGGCGGAGGATGCTCCTGTTGCGGGCGGAGTTCTGACTGGATCGCAGGGGAGGCCAGCAGAACTGGAACCTTATCGTACGGCAGTTGGTGCGCTGGCCGATTGTGTGCAGCGGCTGCCGTGGGGCCCGCGGGCGCCTCGCGCGTGATCGTTGCCGTCGTTGCAGTC